CGCCCGTGGCCAGTGGAGAGGGCTGGGCGAGACTCGGAGACCCATGCCCTGCGGGAGGCGAGGGTGCCAGGGGGGTCCGTACGGAGGAACAACCTGGAAGGCGAGGCGATGGTCCAATGCAGCCTCCACCTACTGGCGTTATGCAGGTGGGGAACTGAGGCGCGGGGAGGGGAGTCATCTGCCCACATAGCAGAACCAGGAACTGAACACCTGAATCCCAGGCACTTCTGCTTGAACCAGGAGACGCCCCCACCCTACCGGCTAGAGCCCCCTCCCCCAAACGAACCCTTCCTGTGCCATTTGGCATCACTCGGGGCACAAGGCAGCCCAAGCCGCCCTTCGCAAGTCCCCTCTGCTGTGAGCTCCTTCCGTCCCCCCCATGTAGCATTTCATGGAAGGAGTCTGCTGCTCATCCCATTCCACATGGCCCTCTGCCAATCACTTGTCAACAGTGTTCCCTGAGCGCTTGGGCGGCCACCCCAGGGAGAGCCAGGTGCCGCCCACAGCCGGCAGCAGGTGATTCTACTTGTGGTGCACAAGCACACATGCATCGGTGCACGGGACAGAATTGATTCCACCCTTGGATGGAAAAAAATGAGGAGGGAACGCTGCTTGACAACACCAATCCACATGACTGTGGTGCATGCCACCCATCAGCGGCGATTGCTCTCTGGGCTTGTTTCTGTTCACCCTTACAACATGCTTGTTAAAAGTCTGCAACTACACATTTTAACATATTACTCATTGAAAGATGCATACATTGAAAATGTAAAACACATGCTCAGCAGGTCTCTGCCTCCTTCACGCACACACGCGCGCGCGCGCACACACACCAGTTTGCAGAAAATGTCCTTTTCTATTGTTAATAGTTTTGCAAATCCCCAAGCAGCTTACCCTGTACAAGCAATGAAAGTGCTGTGGGAAGCCGCTGCCTTGCGTCTGACACATGAGCTAGAAGGCATGAGGAACACAGCAGCTGACAAGCACAGTGAGTGGCTTGTTAACGCAGCAGCAAGGTGCGGGATTCTCAGCCAGGCGGTTGCCAATCGGCTCAGAGGGCTCGTGCCCGTCTCCCCTTTTCTGTTTGGCTCGGAGAGGGGCTGGGGGGAGTCGCTGAATACGCAGGGCCCGCATGTCTCACACGCTGAGCCCCGCTTGCTGGTGGGTAGCACGCAGCTCTGGAAGCAAAGACTCCTGGGCTGCCGTCCCAGCTGGGGGAGAAGTGGGAGCTCGTGGTTACAGCAGGGAACTTGGAAGCAGGACTCCTTGCTGTTATCCTGACTTGGGGAAATCACTTCCCTCTGGTGCGACAATACAGAGACGAGATGTTACACACACACCCGACTGTCACCGCAAACAGCGAGCACGCAGCCAATGTTCCCACAGGCAGAGGCCTGAGAATCGCAGCGTAACAGCAGCCAAGGAGCACAGCTCCTCTGTGCAGAAACCTCTTTCAGCACCACGGCTAGCGACTCGCTG